GACAATTACCTAGAGAATGAGGTCCCTATATCTCAGTGTCAACTCCAGTCCTTGTCTGCCTTCTCCCACATTGTTCTGCTGATGTGGTCAGATTGAAAGGGAACCGATTAAATTAATTTTTCTGAGGAGCTTTGAAAAGTTGGTGACATATTGTGTTAGGTCTAATTCAGGATGACCTCTTAGATTATGAATGATCACGACAAGAGATAAATGCAGGATGAGAATTCTTATTCCTGAGCTCAAGGTGCCTGTTTTGTCCTTCTACTCCACCCCATGTGGTCACACCTATCTGCAGTGGGTCTAAACCACTATCCAGTGCTTTTTTTGAGTAGGTACTACGTGGTACGCAGTACCGGCACCTCCAGTCAGTGCTCAACAACTTTTCCCCTGGAGTACCAGCACCTTTTTTAAATTTTTTTATTTTACAAAAAAAGCACTGCCCCTATCAAAGCTGAATGATTGCTTAATTTGCACACAGTGTGCCTAGATATAAATGGCTACAAAGGGTGCAAGGCATCTGATATCCAAGCAATGGCCTATACCAGTGTTTCTTAAACTTTTTAAGACCAAGGAATGCCAAACAATAATTTTTTTTATGAGGAACACCAAGGATTTTTGTCAAGGGGGTGGGGGAGTTGGGAGGGAAAGGGAGTGGGGGGGACAGTTATTGAGGGGAAAAAGAGTCAGGGGAAAGTTACTGAGGGAAAAAATGTAGTCTGCCCCTTTAAGGGCAACCATTTTGCGTTCTGTTGTTCTCTGCAGCACACCTCCTACTGCCTTGCAGCACACTGGTGTGCCGCGGAACACAATTTAAGAAACACTGGTCTACACCGTCTAGAGTTCTCCATGAGTATATCTTTGAACATTGACAATGGAGGGGTTGCTCTTAATGCTGTTTTGTACCATTTCTTTTGCTATCATTTTTAGGGAAACTGGTGCTGAACTTGAATTTGATCCAACATTTTTGGGAATCAGGCCTTTTTAATAGGATTTTATATGTATTCTATTTTGTATTCTGTGGCAAATGCTAGGCTCAACGTTTTCCTTTGCGTGGAGAGAAATCGCTTTTTTGATTTATTTATTCAAGTAGCGATATAAATACAGTTAAGTGTAGTAATGGCACAACATTTGAAAACTGCTGACTTCATCTGAAAAATATAATTCTTTGCACCTGAATTGTGTCTTCCTCCCAAGGATCTCAAAGTACATTACAAACATTAATGAGTTAAGCCTTCCAAGACCTCTTTGAGATAGAAAATGTATTACTAAACTCATTTGATATTCACCATGCTCCCTTTCAAACATTCACTGTTAAGATTGTTTAAAAGTTTAGATAAGGGACTTACAAGCTGTGGTTAATTTTGCAGGCAATCATCAGTATTAGTATACAACATTGAGAACTGTCTCTGCAGAGAGGAACCCTGGAAATCTTTTGATGAGGTCATCAGATTAATTGGAACTGGGGCTGTAAAGCAACATGAGTAATGGTACTTGTAGACGCTTGGAGGCTTAGTATTGCATTGGTGCAGTCAGCCTTCCAAAGTACAATGTGAGATTCCAGTAACTGGCTTTTTATTACTAAAATATGACATTTCAATTTACAAGCTTTGTGCCAGTATTGTAAGGACATCTGGCAGTGCTTCTATCCTTAGACTGTTGCATTCAGAGCCCCAATCCCAACTGATGTTTCTGGCTGCTGTTAGATAATATTCTTTTGCTATTGTTTTCCATTATGTAGATGACCTAGTCAGAAAGCAGGTTCAGTGTTCTTCTGTGGAGCTGAAACTCTCAAAGTGGCCTTGTCAGGGATGGCTGTAAATGTGTTAGAAAATGCCTGGAGCTCCTCATTTGCAGCTGGGCTTAAAATGAATGTAACGTCCAGTGCCTTGTGGGAAGAGGAGGGTTGTCCATTTTCATGTTCATAGGGTCACGTATGACATCGAGTGGGGTCTGCAAATAAATTCCATCAATCTGAAATAAAAATGCACATGTGCAAATGTCTGCTTTGAGAAAGCTAATGAATATAAGGAATGTACTAACTCATCTTAGATATGTCCTTTCTTCAGAATGTGTGCAAACTTGCAGGAAATATCCTGTGATTTCCAAGTATCCATTACTGTGAGTAATTACTCAAAATAAAAGCAAAACCAGTTTTCAACATTTTAGTGAGCTCACTGTGTTAGAATTATAGCAAGGTTTGCAAAATAGGAAAGGGAAAAAACCCTCTAAAAGGAGAAAATGTTTCCTTGTTGATTTGGCATGATTTATTAAAAAGGAGTGCTCTTTTTTTTTCTTTTTTTCTTTTTTTTTTTTTAACAGAAGAAGCAGGTGAATTAGATGAAGACTTTGGTATAGTGCAACTGTATCAAAAGTCAGTGTTGTAAGAGATAAAAATAAAATAGTTTAAATACAGTGAAACCTTTTGAAGTCCAAGTGTCATTAAGTCTCTAGTTTGCAGTCTGTCTTCCTGCCAACATAAAGGATAAGGACCCAGCAAGAAATAGGATAAAATAGAGTTCTACTCTCCGGGGGAGTGTCTAATTTTTGTTAATGATTCTTGAAGTTCACAGAGTTCTTTAACCCAATAAGGCATCCCTCAAAGCTCAGACACTCCAGGAAGTCGGTCCGCCACTCTTAAAGGAGCTTAACCCTGCTATCTTTTTTTTTTAATGTAGTTTTATTTAAGTTTCTAAATAAACTTAGATTAGATATTAGAAACGATGTAGAGTAAGATGGAAAACAATTTAAAATTATTGTAAAAGAGAGAGCAGATGTAGCTTCATCTTTTAAACCCGTGTTTATGGTTAAAGAATAATTTATATACTTCAACATATTTATAAGATTTTGAGTTTTGTTCATTTTTTTTCATCCTGACATTTTAAAAATAAGCATTAAACAGAATGCAGGATGTCAGTGCTGGAATTTGATAGACCTATAGGGACTGCACCTTAACTATGCTTACTTAGCTGCTGGCCAATCAGCTCTGAGGGTTAGGAATCATAAATTAGTTTCCAAATCCAAATTACCTTTTTTAGTGCCTTCCTAATGCACTATAAGATAGTATTAGACCCTTGTAAAAGAAGGCCAGTAAATAATGCAGTAGTCCCAAAAGACTTTGTAGATGAACAAACTTCATTTTAAAGTAAAATAGTGATGCAATAAATCCTATAAATTAAATAATTAAATTAATCCTTTTAACGAATTTCAACATAAGTAGAAATACTGAAATAAGTGTTTCTTCTAATGTAATTTGTCTTCTACTTTGAAGAGCAACATAATTGTTCTTTCCAAAAATTGCACCTGTGTTGCTTGCAGATAAGATTATTGGGATAGAAGAGTACCACTTGCTCAGGAAGGATAGGCAGGGAAAAAAGAGAGTAAGTCTTTCCTTGTACAGTAAAACTCCAGTGGTCCGGCACGCCTGATAGTCCGGCACCACCTGGAACCCGGAAGTGCTCCAGGCAGCCGGACAATTGGAGCTGCTCTGCCTCAGGCTTCCCGGAGTCAGCCGCTGGTCAGTTTCAGCAGCGGACTCGGGGAAGCCTGGGGCAGACAGCTGCTCTGACCCCAGCATCCCCAAGTCAGCCGCTGGTCAGTTTCAGCAGCGGACTCGGGGAAGCCTGGGGCAGACAGCTGCTCTGACCCCAGCATCCCCAAGTCAGCCGCTGGTCAGTTTCAGCAGCGGACTCGGGGAAGCCTGGGGCAGACAGCTGCTCTGACCCCAGCATCCCCAAGTCAGCCGCTGGTCAGTTTCAGCAGCGGACTCGGGGAAGCCTGGGGCAGACAGCTGCTCTGACCCCAGCATCCCCAAGTCAGCCGCTGGTCAGTTTCAGCAGTGGCTGACTTGGGAAAGTCTGGGCAGAGCAGCTGAGGTGCTGTAGGGTTGGTCCCTTAGCGCTGCCCTCTCTTCCCCCCCACCCCACCCCACCCCACCCCAGACCCCTCATAGCCCCCGCTTCCGATAGTCCAGCATATCTGATAATCCAGCACCCCCTGGGTCCTAAAGGTGCCGGATTACCAGAAGTTTACTGTATATTAAAAACGTATACACTTGGACTGAGGTTTGAGATGGACATAGGAGACAGACTTGTTGAGAGTCTCTGGGTTAGGTTAAAAGGTGTAAAAACAAGGATCATGTCATGCTAGGAGGTCAACCACAGACCACCAAACCAGGGAGAATGGGTAGATGAGGCTTTTTTTTAAACTAACAAAATCATCCAAACCTCAGGACTTGGTGGCGATGGAGGACATCTGTTGGAGATGGCAGAGGTGCTTAATGACTTTTTTGTTTTGGTTTTTACCTGGAAGATGGATGGTTACTGGATGCCTAACATAGTGAATGCTAGAGGAGATTAGGTAGGTTCCCATGTCCCCAAGGCCTAATGAAATGCATCCTAGAATACTCAAGGAGCTGATAGAAGAGGTATCTGAGCCATTCGCTATCATCTCTGAAAAGTCATAGAAGTCTGCAGAGATTCTAGAAAACTGGAAAAGGGCAAATGTAGGGCCCATCTATAAAAAGGGAAATAAGAACAACCTAGAAAACTACAGGCCAGTCAGCTTAACTTCCTAAGAAGTGGGTTTCTGCAGGGGTCAATTTTGGGACTGGTTTTCTTCAATATTATCATCAATGATTTAAATAATGGCATAGTTAGTACATTTATAAAGTTTGTAGCTGATACAGAGCTGGGAAGGGTTGCAAAGTGCTTTGGAGGATAGGATCATAATTCAAAATGATCTGGACAAACTGGAGAAATGCTCTGATGTAAACAGGATGAAGTTTAATAAGGACAAATACAAAGTACTCCACTTAGGAAGGAACAATCAGTTTCACACCTACAGGGGAAGCGACTGTCTAGGATGGAGTATTGAAGAAAGAGATGTAGGGGTCATAGTGGACCACAAGCTAAATATGCGGACACTTTTGAAAAAAAAAAAAAAAAAAAAAAAAAAGAGCGCAATAATGATTCTGGGATGCATTAACAGAAGTGTTGTGAGCAATACACAAGAAATAATTCTTTCTCTCTACTCTGTGCTGATTAAACTCAGTTAAAATTGAAGAATTGTGTTCAGTTTTGGGCTCCACATTTCAAGAAAAATGTGAAGAAATTAGAAGGGGGTCCAAAGAAGAACAACAAAAATGATTACAAATCTAGAATACATGACTTATTAGGGCAGACTGAAAGAACTGGAAAAACTTAAAAAACAACAAATAGTCTTGTAGCACCATAGGGTATGTCTACACTACTCCCCTAGTTCGAACTGCGGGGGGTAATGTAGTCATACGGAGTTGCAAATGAAGCCCGGGATTTGAATTTCCCGGGCTTCATTTGCATAAAGCTGGCCAGTGCCATTTTTAAATGCCGGCTAGGTCGGACCCCGTGCCACGCGGCTACACGCAGCACGGACTAGTTAGTTCGGATTAGGCTTCCTATCTGAACTAGCTGTACGTCTCGTGGAACGAGGTGTACAGCTAGTTCGGATTAGGAAGCCTAATCCGAACTAACTAGTCCGTGCCGCGTGTAGCCGCGTGGCACGGGGTCCAACCTAGCCGGCATTTAAAAATGGCGCCGGCTGGCTTTATGCAAATGAAGCCCGGGAAATTTAAATCCCGGGCTTCATTTGCAACTCCGTATGACTACATTACCCCCCCTAGTTCGAACTAGGGGAGTAGTGTAGACATACCCTTAGAGACTAAAAAACATGTAGATGGTATCATGAGCTTTCATGGGCACAACTCACTTCTTTCCGTTACAGACTAACTCAGCTATCCCTCTAAAGCTTTTGAAAGAATTGGGTTTGTTTAATTCGGAAAAGGGAAGATTCAACAGGAACATGATAGTAGCTTTCAAGAGCCTAAAAGGCTGTGTGGCGGGGTCGAGCTCCGTCCAGCCCAGTTGACCCCCGCCTTCAGTCTCTTCCCCCTTTTCCCTGGGTGCTTCACTGTGGTCCCCTTACAGTCTTGGTGGGCTTGTTGGCTCGGCCGTACCTCCGCCCCAGTTCTTACTTCGTCAGTGTCCTGGCTCGGGCCCGTCCGGCCCGTCTGCTGGGGGCCGTGTCGCTCCTGGGACCTCCTGTAGGTGTTACCCCGCCACCGGTCCTCTCTGCTCTGGCATCTGCTGTCCCTGGCTTTCGCTGCCCCTCGGACTCTCCACCTGTGGGAGGTGAGAGCACAGCCAGCCCCTGTTCTCCTCCCCCCGATCCTCCTGGCCGGCTCCCTTTTGGGTGTCTTGGCCGGCATCCCGCTCCCGCGCAGCCAGCCCGCCGGCCGTCCTTCCCTGGGCCCTAGGGTCCGCAGCTTGCATTCCGGCCCCTACTGCGCCTGTGCTGCCAGCGCTCCGCTCACCACTTTCAGAGGCAGCAGCAGCACTGCCTGAGTTGTTGGGGGCTGCCGGACAGCAGGCGCAAGTGCGGGGGGAGGTTTCCCCGTCACAGGCTGTTACAGGAAAGGGGGAGAAAATTGTTCTACTTGTCCTCTAATGATAGGATAAGAAGTAATGGGCTTAAATTGCAGCAAGAGAGGTTTAGGTTGGACATTAGGGACAACTTCCTAACTGTCAGGGTGGTTAAACACTGGAATAAATTGCCTAGAAAGGTTGTGGAATCTCCATCACTGGAGATATTTAAGAGCAAATTAGATAAACATCTATCAAGGGTGATCTAATTGGTGTTTGGCCCTCACATGAGGGCAGGGGACTGGACTTGATGACCACTCAAGGTCCCTTCCAGTTCTAGTATAAAGATAGAGAAAATTTAAAACAATTCTGATCTGAATAAAAGAGAAAAAAATGTAATAAATAAGCATTTTCTTTTAGCTTTAGTCTGTGTAAAGTTCAGTAAATATTTCTTTAATTAAAAAATTATGCTCTAGTTAAAATCCCCTTTTGTCTTTACAGAAATATCAAGAAATTGCAGAAAAAGCCAAAGAAAGATGTTCTGTCATTGAAAAAGCACGAGAGCAGTTGGTCCATGAAAATTCACACTTGAAAAGTATATTAATGCACACACAAAAGGAACACGAGTCTCTCCTGGCAGCCTGTGCATTAATGAGTGGTGCTTTGTATCCTCTATACAGCCGATTATGTGCTTTGTCTACACAAAGGGACTTTCTCCAGGATCAGGTCCATGCCTATGAAGTACTCAAGCAAGAAATCAGGACTCTAGTCTGTGCTTTGTCTGACGTAGAGGAAAAGAGGCAGGATGAAGTGAAGAAAAAGAAAGAGCCTTTCAAAGGCATGATATGTATATTCCGGAAAGGTGTTATTGCAGTTCTAGCTGCACACAGACTTCAAATTTTGGGGCAGTCAAGTAGTTCTCTTTTCTCCTGGGTAGATGGTTTCAAAGAAGGCATAGGAATCCTAGTTTGCATAGGAGAGGCCAAGGGGAAACAGAATGTATCAAGTAAGATATTTGATTTGTTACTTTATATTATCATGTCATATTATAACATTTGTGCTTTACTTATTATTTAATAATAATTATTATAATGCTTAAAGACAAATATCATGATGAATTCAGACTAATGGATTGGAGGCACCTCCAATTACAAATATTTTCTCTCTGTTTTTTGAATGGCTGAAAAAGTTAGGTCGGTGTGTGTATAGTATGGTATCATCCCATGGCTAGCCATCAGCCACATGTGGCTAGTTGGCTTGAACAATGTGGCTATTTGGCCATTTGAGTGTGGTTAGTTTGCTATAGCAGTTGCCAGTGTGGATGTCAACATGTATTTGACTATACAATTAACCGAACATGTACTTGACTATACAATTAACCGATAAGCCTAGATTTATCGGTTAATCTTGTCAGCTACATTCATTTACCCTGACCTTGCTGCCTCTGAATCGGAGGTAGCAAGGCCGGGGAGCAAGAGCCGGTGTTGTGGGGGAGCCAGTTTGAAAGCTGGTTCTCCTAGCACCAGCTCCTAATTGCCACCTGCCACCCCTCCCCCCATGCTGCTGCCTATATCAGCATCCTCCAGAGCAGCCTCTGTACACGGCGAGCTGGGGCCCGCTGCGGGTAGGGACTGATTTGCGGCAGCAGCCCCTGTCTGTGGGGAGTTCAAACCCCCCTGCAGACTGGGACTGCTGCCACCCCTCTGATACAGAGGCAGCAGCATGGGGCAGCAGGCAGCCAGACCGTGAGGGGAGCTGGCTTTTAAACCATTTCCCCTTTCGGACCAGCTCCCTCCTGCCACCCTGCACTGCTGCCTCTAATAGGCAGCAGCATTGAGGTGTCAGGGAACTTCCCAGGAGTGAGGCCAGAGCGCACTGGTTATTGGGCCCACCCTCAGGAACTATAGAATAGTCATGTAACCAATAATATTTTATGTGGTTATACAACTATTCAGTTATACAATAGCTAGCATCCCTAGTTGCCACTAAAGTTGCTACTGCTTCAGAACTGGTTGAATGCCATGGGGCTATCATCAGATATCTGGGGTAGATTTGTATTACCTTTCCAGAACAAGAGATTGCAAACATTTTGTTATTGTGTTGCTTGGTTCACTGTTCTGTGAAGCCTCCAAACAGAGAGAGGTCCAGAAGAAGGGGCCTGATTTAAAAGCCAAAATGCCAATATATATTGTATGTATTTCATATTAAAAATAAAATAGTATTAGTATGGGATTATTAAACTTTCATTTGTATAGTAAAATACTTTTTGGGTTCCTCCAAGAGGAAATGTTAAACTAAAGAACAAATAATTTATTCCGTATTGAACAGCTGAAGGTGTAATAGTGCATGTCAACACCACTTTAAATTTTGTGGGGGAAAAAGTAGAATCCTGGCATGAATTTTGTATAAATTTTATTTTGATCTATTTCTTAAACACCTGAAGACTGCAGCGTGACATGTATCTCATATATTACTATTTATTACCTTTTGTTTCACAGAACACCAAAAGGAACAAACCCATTGTCTTCAAGCACTAAATTGGTTTACCAGTTCTGACCTTCTAGCTGCAATAATGAGTTCGGTGGCTGAATTACAGGAAGTTGTTAGCAAAACAGGTACATTTTAAAATATGCTGCTGTAGAGAAGAGTATAAATAGTAGTATATGATATGTTTTCCTGTTTCAGGATTTTATATCTTCAGATGTCTCCTCTTCTGGTTAAATTTCTGGACGTGGAAAGCTGCTTGGGCAATCTAATTTTCTTAATCTTTATTGATAGTATTACTTGTAGGTTTTTTCTTTCGCATGCTTTTGCATATACAGATCCAAACCTTTGCTCACATGTGGTAGTATGTAAATAATAACCTGTGGTCATTGCTTCTATATAGTTAGTGGCAAAAGCAATAGTTACATAAGATTGTATCACAAAATGGAATTGTGAATATGATATATAATACATGTTTTATGTTTACAGTCATCTTGGCATTAGTTTAAATCTGGTTTCTGTCGGTTTTTCTTTGTTTAACAATACAGTAATCACTTACCTAATTTCCAAAATAGGTTGCAAAATATGCCCATTTGTTTTTTCTATCCGTATTCTTACAATTTGCATGCATCTCTCTTTATTTAGTGGTTTTCTAATTTAGCCATGTATAATTTATCATCTTTGTTGTTGTGTTTTCTAAATCTCTTGTGGTCTCAATCATGCTGTATAAACAGCATCTGTTACTACCAGCATAACAGATTGCATTAACTTCTAAAGAGTGGTAAATAAATTATATAAATCTGACCATAAAGGGAGATTAAATCTAAGTTTAAATTAACCATATTTGGATAGTGTTTGCCACCATATTCCTGTTCAAGAATCATAAGACATTATTTCCCTTCTCTGTAAATCTACCCCAGCATGATATTCAAATTAGGGATATCTTGTCATTTTAAAATTCTTTGTGTAATATTAAAAAGTTAAAGTGACCACTTTCCCTAATATTAGTGAGGTTCAAATGCATAAGACTCACAAGTAATAACTTGCTGCTGTGGTAAATGGTCTCAGCTGCACCAAATATTTGTTAGTTAAAAATGATTTTAAGACAACTACTTAAATTTCATTAACTGGAGAATGATCAAAGCAGTCAAAGTTTCAGAGAAACTAATCTTGTGTTTTGAAAGCCAGTAATTCCTGAACTGAATCCCACCTCTTCCACTGACTCAGCATGTAGCTTTGTACCTTCCTGTGCCTCATTTACCTGTGCGCATGGGGAATAATATTTAACAGTCTCATAAGAGTGTTCTGAAAATTACTTTGGTTGTGTGTAAACTCCTTTTAAGAAGACGTAAGAGTTAGCCTGATGGTCTGTCAGCAAATCCTATTCCGTGAACAGCTTGTTAAAGAGAGGTCATTTGATTTGTAAAAATCTACAGAATCATAGTTTCAGTGGTGTCCACTTCTGTGGCATGACAAGAGGGGACACACTGCCCTCCTTGACCTCTCGATCCTCTGGTTGATGGAAATTTTGATAACACAACACATAATTGGAAATGGGTCAAATTAGGTATTATTCAAAAGTCCTGTCTCCAATGAACACAGTGGTGCCAAACATGATAAATCTGTAACTGCTATGAAGATACATGCTAGAGAAAATCTTTAAAAATAATATATTAACAAAACACATTTTTAAATTATACTTTAACACATATGCATTGTCATACATAAAAAGGCATTGTTCTTTGATAACCATAGGTAAGTTACTGCAGACATATAGGATTGAAAATATTTATTCATCAGTCATCATAAGTGTGACCTTTATCTAGGGCACCACTGCTTAGACATATTGTTGCACTGATCCTCATCCGTGGCACCTCAAATAAAAAGTATTAAAATTGGAAAAAAATAAAGAGAAGGGCAACATAAATGATTAGGGGTTTAGAACAGATTCCTTGTGAGGAAGGAAGCTGTTCTAAGTTACCATTTTCAAATGGAGTCCATTAATTTCTGGATCATATAATCGTAGAATATTAAAGTTGTCTCTTACCTGAGTTTTTTTTCTAATATCCAACCAGATCTATCCCACTGCAATTTGAGACCATTGCTTTTTGTTTTGTCATCCGTCACCACTGAGAACAGATGGACATTTTGAAACCCTCCTTCAAGTATTTTAAGGCTGCTATCAAATTCCCCTCATTCTTCTTTTCTGCCGATTAAAATGAGCCCATTTCCCTCAGTCTCTCCTCATAAGTCATGCACCCTCACACCTTAATAGTTTTTGTTTCCCTCTACTGGACACTCTCCATTTTGTCCACTTCTTTTCTGTAACGGGAGGCCTAAAACTGGACTCAGTAATCCAGATGTGGCCTAACTAGAACCGAATAGAGGAGAATAATCACTTCCCTCGATCTACTGTCAATGCTCAGTATGCCATTAGCCTTCTTGGCGTTGTTGACTCATATCAAACTTCTGTTGGCTCATATCAAACTTTTGCCTGTGGCATACCAGCTTGGTTTTCCCTTTGATATTTATATATCCACTGCCTCCTTTCTTTCCCCTCCCTTCCATTTCTCTCCTCCCCCCATTTATTTTGGTTCTGGACGTATAACACTTTGGTCATCTGAGGAAGTGGGCTGTGCCCACAAAAGCTCATGATACCATCTACATGTTTGTTAGTCTTTAAAGTGCTACCAGACTATTTGTTGTTTTTTAAGTTTATTCTCATCCACTGTAATTCCCAGGTCCTTTTCTGCAGTCAGTTCCCAGCCTTCATGGGATTCTTTTGCATGACTCTGTACTTGTTCTTGCTGGACCTCATCAGATTTCTTTCCCACCAATGTTGGACCAATCCTCCAACATGTCTAGATTACTCTGAATCCTACCTCTACCCTCTAGCATAAATACTGTTAACCCCCAGCTTAGTATAATCCACAAACTTGCTGAGGATGCAATTCAATCCATCAACCAGATCATTAATGAAAATGTTGAACAAGACTGATACTGCCTGTTAGACATCGAGCTGTTGATCGCTACCCACTGAGCCCAACAATGTAGCCACCTTTCCACTGTGTAGTCTATTCAATCAAATCAAACTTCTTTAACTTTCTGGCAAGAATACTGCTTTGCTAAAGTGAAGATACCTCCTGTCCACTTCTTTCTCTATATCCACTGAGCCAGTTATCTTATCCTGGAAGACAATTAGTTTGGTCAGGCATGACTTGTCCTTGGTGAATCCATGTTAACTGTTCCTAATCACCTTTCTTTCCTCTAAGTGTTTCAAGATGGATTCCTTGTAGACTCGCTCCATGATTTTTCCAGGGAATGAGGAGAGATTGACTGCTCTGTAGTTCCCCAGATGCTCCTTCTTCACCTTTTTTAAAGGTGGGCACTACATTTGCCTTTTTTCGTAGGCGGTCTGGGACCTCCTCCAATCACTATGAGTTTTCAAAGATAATGGCCAGTGGCTTTGCAGATAATACTATTTGGATGGATACTGACATCTTAACCAGAGCCTCATTGTAACTCTTTTGGCAGAAGAGTAATACTCAGAAGTATTAAACCACTTGCTTTTTGCTGATGATAGCAAAATCAACACTCTCTCCAATTATATTCTCAGAGGGGTAATTGTGTTAGTCTGTAACTTTAAAAAAAACCTTAAACAATTAGTGGTCCTGTAGCACCTTAGAGACTAACATATATATGATATATAGTGTATCATGAGCTTTTGTTGGCACAACTCACTTCTTCAGATGAGAGGGGTATTGTGTGTTCCTAACAGCCAGTAATCCATCATCCTGTGGAATTTTCATGTAAAGAACTTCTGTATCCATCATGGCCAGGATGGTGTTTTCAGGAAGATTACTGATGTTCTGTAGTTTCCTCAGGAAGTCAGTGGTGTCTCATAGGTAGCTAGGAGTGCTAGTAGCATACAGTCTGAGGAGAGAATCATCATAACCAAATAATCCTGCTGTAAGTGTGCTGATGCCTGAGATGATGGGACATCCAGGATTTCCAGGTTTATGGATCTTGGATAGCAGATAGTAGGGATGTAGTCAGTTAATCATAAGTAAATGCTCATTGGTTAATGCTATCGGCTACATTCAACACGCTTCTCCTACCCTCTCCACGGTTCTGCAAGTACATTTTTGGTGAGATGGCTGACAGGCTGGCTCAGCCGCTGCGGCTATGTATTAATAAGAGATTGAGGAGCCTATTAACCCTTATTGATTAATTGTGTAGTCGACAAAAATTTTGTCGACTACACAATTAATTAATTACATGCTTCTTAACATCTCTCGCAGATAGAAGACTTGTGATCAGGTATTGGGGATGTGTTTGTATGGATTTGGTCCCACGTTGTAGCAGATGGTGTAGTCTCCATTTATAATATTCGGTAACATTAAAAAATTCATCAGGTGTCATCCTGGGTATTAACTGATAACACAGTACTTCAGGTGAAGGCCACAATTTAACTTTGTGAGGCCTCTAGGCTTGACATGACTGTGTTAAAGTAGAATTTAAAGATTTTCTTGAATATATATCTGCATAATTGTTCTAGTTGTCATGTTTGATACTGTTGTGTTTGAGCGGGACAAGGGATTTTGAATGATACCTAATGAAATTGTGTTATCAACATTTCTATTAGCTAGAGGACTTGGAGACAGGGAAGCAAGCAAGTCCCCTTTCCTCCTCTTTCATACCACAAGAAGTGATAACATTAAATGTGTATGATTCTGTAGAATTTTATAAATCAAATTATACTTGCCTTACCTTACTAGGTTTAACTTGCTCATAGAATTACACATGATCCCAGGTTATGATTTAGTTGATAGCTAGCAAAAAATACAATGACCTGTTTTTCTTGTGAGATAGGAATAACCACACCATCCAGATTCAGAGTGCCAGTTTGTGTACTCATATATTGGACAAAAGCATCACCAAAAGTATCCAGTCAGAATTTCAAGTCTTCAGGCATTTGTTCCTTAATGAACAAAGGAAATCTTTTGTTTCATTATCCATTTCCCTTCTGGTGGAAAACTTGATCATTTCCAACATACTGGAAACCCTTTAACTGTCGGTATCTCTGAAATCTTCGGAACCTGAATGAATGCCTTATTCTGCCTGTATGTTCTAACCAAAGCTGGTTGAAAGGCTACATTTCCAAATGAGCTGTGCCCTTAAGCAATGCTCTGGCCACAGCACTGTTCCACCAGTGCAAAGTGATTGGACTCCTAAACCTGTCAGATTCAACCTCAGAGGACCACTCCTGAATGGTGGGATGAGCTACTGTAATGGCTCCTACACATCTCTCTGCAGCCAGAGAAAAGAGCTCATCGTCAGAGTGTCTGTATATCTTAGAAAGCACTGTTAGAATAGCAGCCTTCAAGTTGCTTTGAACTTGTGTCAGGCACTTGACCTCTGCAAAGCACTGTCAGGATTAGAGTAAAATAAAGACTACTTAGTTGTGCCCCATGGCTTCCAGTCACAGCTCAGGATCTTTGCTCCCATAGCATTATGTCCAGCTGTGCTTTGCAAACAATGAACTGAAAATTCTTGATCACTAGTGGCTTTTGTATTTGATGTGCTTGTCATGAAAACATAGGAATTGCCGTAACAGGTCTGGTCAGGGGGTCTGTAATCCAGTGCCATGTCTTTGACAGTGCACAGCACCAGTTGCTTCTGGAAGAAGGTTCAGAAATACCTGTAATGAAGAATTCTGGAGTAACTTGTCATTGAGGAAGTTGCTTTCTTAAACTTGAAAGTTTAAAAAAGGAGTGGTCCTGTGGCACCTTAGATACGAACAGAAAATATAGTTAGTATCCTGAGCTTTTGTGAGAACAGCCAAGTTCTTCTGTTGACAAATACGGAGCAAGAGGTATCTGAAGAAGTGATTTGTGCCCATGAAAGCTCGTGATACTATCTATACTTTTTGTTAGCCTCTAAGGTGCTACTGGACTACTAGTTTTTTAAGGTTCTTTTGTTTAAGTTACAGACTAACACGGGTACCCATCTGAGATCTGGAAAGTTAGTATTTGGATAAAGACCTGACGCATGATAGTTTATGTATCCCTTATATTTTAACATGTTGAGTGTACTCCATATGTTCTTATTAATCAGATAAATGTTTAATCTTTTTTTAATCCTGGTTAATTCTTGACTTTGCTGATATTTTGTGAAATGGAGTTTCACAAATTAATTATTTTGTATATTCAAGGAAGCTTTTGACTCTTTGCAGTTGGTTATCTTCATTTCTCTTTGCTCTTTGGTAGTCCTATAGTCACAAATTCAGTGTATCAGATATGAGGAAGTAGGACTATAAGAAAGGAAAGATAATTAAGGAGTAGAAAAGTTGTGATATATCCAAGATCAAACAGCAAATGGGCTCTAGGGAGCTAGGAACAGAACCAAGATCCCCTCACTTCAAGTTCTACGCTCTGTCCACCAGATCATGCTGATATTCAGTCATTCAAATTCAACACTGCCAGTTCAAGCTTTTTGGAACAATGTTTGCACTGTTTTTCAAAATGCATAGGAGGCATTTAAATAGAACAGGAGGACATGCATTCCATATATGGGCTATTTGTCTGATCAAGAACAGCACTTTAAAAAAGAATTTCAAAGACAAATCATATCTACACTAAGGTGCTAAAATGACTACCTTTCTTATGCTACTCAAATGCAAAACCATTTTGCTGATAGTGAAATATAGCAGAGTCCTGCTAGCTGTTGTTTTGATGCAAACTTTTTTGTTTGAGTCCGATATTATAGAATTCATGGGCAGAATAAAAGAGGCATGTGAAGGCCTCAACAAGAACCATGTGGGAATATTGGGTCTGATGGTCGCAAGAGATTTTCTGATTCCCCTCACTTATGTTCATTTATTTCACCCTCAGAGTATCCTGATAGCTAGCTGCTCATCTGTAACTTAGACTTTTGATCTTATCTAAGTGACAGAAACCCTTCTAGAAACTTGGTCTTGGTAAAAATAGTAAATTATTTAAAAGCGGGGTAAAATTTCAAAAGCACATAAATGACTTGAGAGCCTAAGCCTCATTTTGAAAAGAGAATGTATGCACCTATGACCCTAATTCTCATTGACAGTCAAAAGGATTCATGTTCCTAAATGCTTAAGACTTTAAGTCACTTAGGCACTTTTAAAACTGTGAACCTAAGTGTTCAACCTATTTAGAGCAGCTGCCCTTTTGGTATCGTTATGCACTTTTGAGTTTAGTCTTCCAAATACACTTTAGGGTACGTTGCAAAGGGGAGAAACATAGAAGTATGCATAATTTTACTGAAGCAGCTACACATACATAAGAGAAATGTGCTGGGTCTTTCTAAGAAATTTAAGTATGAATAAGTCAAAAAGACGGCAACATTGGGGACTGCAGTCATTTGGAAGAGGTTGAAGTTAGGGAAATGAACTGAGTTCAAATCTTTCAGAATACCACAATTTTTTTTGGTAGTGTGCTTTTTAGCTTATTTGTGAATGGAAAGGAAATTTGTGTACCATTGTTTTATTTTTAAATTTGAATTTTGAAGTTGTTCCTTTTATAAATATTTTCATATAAAACCTTTTAAACTAATATATTTGTCCTTACATAATCATATAGCTTTTGGAATGGTTTATCTTTTGATTTACTTAAAACAACCTTTAAAGTACATTTTTCTTTTGTTTTTTAATATACATTGCTTTTCATTAACACTCAGGGGAACCAAGCAACAAAATACAGATATTGTCTTCTGTAACAGAAACTGAATTTCTGAAACTTAGTACACATATTTTAGTCTATGATATTATTGAGTTTGTTCTTTTGTTCTATTTCAAAACAAAACAAAATTCTCCCTCCACCTGTCATGAGAGGAAGGTTTGTCGCTTTTCATTGGCTTTTGGTTCATTTGTTTAATAAAGAATTGATTGTTCTTTGTACTGTAACTTTATTTGTGTAAAGCATTTCTTATATGCTCCTCACAACACAAATTATTTATTGCTTTTACTATAATTCCCCGATAGTCTGTGGCCAGTTACTTTAAGTGTATAGATTCTTTTCCAACTTTTTATAGATACAGAAGAATACAGGACCTTATGGAATTACATTGTATTCTCATTTCACCTTGCAAAGCAGTCAGTAAATCACACCAACACATTTGTGTGTTTTACTCAAAACCATTGTTCATTAAAAATTAACTAGAGGTGATGCTTTGCTTTATGTTGCTCAACCTACCAAAATTTATTTCTGTGCTAATCTTCAAAATGAAAAGTCTACATAGTCAGTCTCATGGCATACAAAATCTCTTCTAAAAAAAAAAAAAAAAAGGTGGAACAATCATTTCAAAATCCATGTGACAAAATATGGTGCATTGTAAACACTTTGTCATGCTACACTATTCATTATTCACTCGTGGTTGATTCTACCTGTGTAATTTCAATAATGCTCTGTGAATTATGCTCTATGAGTATTCATGTTCCATTTGTTTGAGTCATTTGACTTTATTCTTACAGAGTAAAGAAAAAAATCTTTATTTTCAAGAAGCTCTCGATTTTTTTTTTTCTGCTAGAGCTTTAAAGAAAATATTTTAATTCACTAGTGCAACAGGAGATCTGGTGTACTACTGAATGTAAATACGTTCCACCATGCTTGTCATCTTACATTGATAGTATCATAAGACAAGTAATGACAGATTAAGACCTGCCTAGCAGAGGGAAAACTAAATTACAAGACTTTTATTAAGGCATAAATAAACCTATTAACCATTATCTGGAATACCAATTAGTAGAAGGAGCACTGACAATTTTATTTATCAACATTAAACACAATTATTAATTACAGACCTGACGAATCTAGCAGTAAGCAGGACATGTTGGGCGTGCTGGGGCCTTAAGTCCATTATATGAGAAGGATGATTACCAAAATCCTGTGGGAAAATAAGTAATTGTAGCTGTAAATTTTTAATTGCCTTGGAATAAGGTAAATTATATTCTCTTGTCTCAGAATATAAATAGTATGGCATTAAGGTACCAAGCCTCACTAGTTTTAAAAGGCAAATCATTTAGATAACTATGCTGAAAAAGAAGAGAAACAGTTATATAATTGTATTTTAAATATTGCAATAAAGTGATTTAACTTTCACTGTCAAGTACAGTATTTTGGCATGTGTTCACACATTTGTCATACAATATATAGTTTTCATGCATCAAATTTTTTTTTATTTTACTAATCCAAAGGTTGGGCTACATATTAAAAGGCTTAAAATACAGAATTGTATGAGAACATAGAGTTCACTTGGAAAATTATGTATTAACAAAGGCTTGGTTATTTAGCCAAATTCTGCCCTCATGTGTACAGATCGCTCCAGTGGTAGTAAGGAGAGGCAGCACGTTATATCTGAAGATAGAATTTGGCCCAAATTCTCTACTTGAGGAAGACTCATTTTGATTGTAATAGGGGCATTTTCAGAGTAAAGACTCCAGGATCAAGGCCAATGAGTTCAGTCTTCCTTTCTTGATTCAATGACAACATTTCCACCAATGTTATTCCCACAAATTTTTTATAAAATAAGAACAAGAAAAAATGTATTAATATGTATTTCTTTTGTCTTAAAGATCCAAATTCCTGGCTTTGTGGACATTTACTTATAAGTGCAGCAAGGAATTCTTTTTCAAAACTCATGGACAAACTTAATGTACTAATGGAAACTATAGAGGTGGATAGCAGCAGGACCATCTCATATGCAGAGAAGGACTCCTTGGTTCAAAGATTGGCTCGTGGACTTCATAAAATAAATGCACATGCCCTAAGAGCTGGCCGAGCTGACAGAATACCCATTACAGTATGTGTATTTCTTACTAACATATATATATAGATGCTAATTTCATTTTCAGGTTGTGCTTTACAGCTGACTTGAATTGAATTATTTCAGATACAAATTAAGTTGTGATTTACACCTGAAAAGATTTGGATTTGAATCAATTATCTCTTTAAAAACAAAATTAAAGAATTATAATGCAAGAAATTTGGTTGTATTAAACTTGAAATAATTTTTCTCTTCCAATTTCTGTTAAAATTTGTAAAAATATTCATATCCCTTCTTGAAGTTAAAATTAATAATTATTTTGTTCATTTTTTGCTTTCTTCTTTCAGTCTGCTTTGATAATGTAAAATACATGTTATCTTTTGAAAAACTCAATTAAACTTCTCCCAAAATCTTTTCTTTCTTTCTCTAATTCTTTCTGTCTTTTGGAATTTTTCATTAACCCACAACAGCAGGTGAAACAGCCCTCTTTGTGTGTGTTTTTGTGTTGGTGGGTGCATTCAGAATGAAAGCTTCATTTAATTTGCTTGGGTATTAAATTATATTGATTTATTGCTAAAATAGCACATTTTATAGCACATAAAATTGTTTCCGTTTACTAACAGAAAAGCATAGCATCCTTGCAGAAGCAAATATTTGAATTTACACAAAGGCTGCATACAGCAGAAGTGGAGCGCCGTTCACTACGCTTAGAACTCACAGAATTCAAACGGAATTTGAATGAGATGAAGAAAGAGGCTGACAAAGCCCAGAGCCTGCAAGAACAATTAAATGCGTTTAAGCAATCTGTAAGTACATTTGATTTAGGAAAGACTAGCTTAAAGGAGAGCTTTCCTTTTACACATTTTTCATTTTTGTTCTTTAGAGAAACAAGTATAAAGCTGATTTATTAATAGCATTTTCCAGAAAACTTGCCCCATGAATGCTACCACGCTGCAAGCCAGATGTACTTAAAAAGTAACATTTCCATAGGAGTTTCTCTTTTAGTATTCAGGATGAGATATTTTGGGTGAATTATACGTGTTTGGTCTTTGACAGACCAATTTTTCTTTCACATGCTAAAAATGTTCATTTTTGATTTGCACACCATAAAGGATTTATATATGTTCTCTCAAATAGAGGAGTCGGGCATATTTAATAAGTATATTCATGACTACATAGTACAGCATAAACACAATATTTTAGGCCTGGTTTTATCCTTGCTGCATATTCTGACACAGTTCTTTATTGTATCTATTGTATCTTTTGTTAGGGGTCAAGTCCTAAAGCTGGTTTTTTGTTAATAAGTCCAACCTTGAGAATAGTTTATTCCTTGGAGGGGAGAATTTATGCAGATGATTTTACCACTTCCCTAGCAGCCTATATTTGCCAAACCGCGTCTTTGTGCCTCTTCCTGGATCCACTGGATTTACTACAGCCGTAAGGCTGCATTGATCATAGCACAGCTCTATCTGGTGGGGATGAAAGGAAAGTACTAAAACCAGGTCCCTTTATCATTAAAAAGCCCAAACACTTTAGCACTGGATCAGTGGAATTACTTGAAGAGCTGAATCCTCCGTTGACTGTACAGGGAATGAAGGTGTTTCCTGAAGTGTCCTCACTGTATACAAGAAACTGTTCACTGTTATAACCATGTGACAGACTCTCCATATCTGTCAGAAAGAAAGTAATACATTCCCCTAGGAGGTTGGAGATGCACTGGGCATCCTCACTACTTTCACTAACAAAACTCTGAGCGCATTTCTGTAGAGAGTATTCATACCAAGTCAGTCTTCACCCAGGAGAAGGGAATGAACAGTCACATTAGTGCTCTGCAGCTTCCCTGCTGTGTGAGGAAACATCCTTCTTTTGGCATATGCAGTACAGGTTGGACCTCCCAGGTCCGGCACCCTCCGCACCTCGGTGGTCCCAAAAGAGGGATTTTGCTGGACCAGTGGAGGTCATTTCTTTCCCCCCTACCACAAGCCCCCCAGCCAGGCTTTGTTCCTGGACTGGCCTCCTGGCTGGATCCCCACCTGCCACCAGCCCCGCTGCCCTCTCTTGGCAGCCCACGGTCCTGCTGCTGGGGCTCCCAGCTCCACCAACCAAGCCGCGGTAGCACCAGCCCTGTCAGCCCACAGTCCCGCTGCTAGGACTCCCGCCCCTCAGCCTGCAACAGACCAGTGCTCAGTCGCTGGGGTTCCCGACCCTGCTAGCCTTACCAGTGTAGCACCTGTCCTGTTGCTGGGGCTTCTGGCTCTACCAGCCCTGCTATGGCAGCGTGTGGTCCTGCCACCAGGGCTTCCGGCTCCACCACAACAGACCACTGCCCAGCCCCAGGGTCCCTGGCCCTGCCACGGCAGACCACTGCCCCATCAAACCCTGCTGGCATTCCAGCTCTCTTGTCACCAACACAGCTGGACTTCCACCACAGGCCTCTCAGCTGCTGGCCTCCCTGCAGCCAACCTGTCTGGGTTTCTGGCCCCCAGATGGCTCCTGCCTCTGACCCTCCACTGGGTGTCTCTGGTCCAGCAACATCCATGGTCCACTAGTGTCATGATTATGAGGGTTATCCAGCAGCCTGGGGATTAAGGGGTTAACTACACCTAGCCAGGTGGAGTGACCAGTAGGAATGTAGGTGGGACTTTCAAACTGGGACAAAGGATTTTGGGCTTTTTCCTTTCTCCCTTTTGTCTCTCAAGGGGGAGTTCTCTGCAGCTACAGAGAGGGACAAGCATGTCTCTCTCTCTCCAAGACACCATTCTTCATTTTCTGTAAGTAGGGTAAAGTTTAGGTAGTTTCATTAGGCTTTATTGTTTTAAGGATCTGGCACTGTTTAAAAGATGTTTTAGCTTTTCTTTGTAACTAAGTTCTAGGCCCATGGAGTTCTCCATGAGTATATTTTGTTACCTTCCCATCTAGTCATTATGCTTGCAACAGGAATATTGTTGTAATAATAAAAGTTCTTTCTTTTCTTTTTATTAACCTGGCAGTGGTTAATAGTGTGCCCTGATTTTTATTTTAGGGGTGAGATTTCCTAAATGATCTTTCCCCTGATTTCTTTATCAACATTTGGGTGGTGGCAGCGGAAGTTTTATTCCCAAGATCTAGGTTTTTAAGATTTTGGGGGAAGTTTTATACCAAAACCTGATAGATAAGGCTTTGGGATACACTTGCTGGCCCCCACTTCTGCATTTATCATGCCAGAGTGGGGAAGGAGCCATGACAACTAGGACCACGGATGTTGCCAAACCAAGGAGTTCCAGTTGAGAGAGGTTCAACCTTTAATTTCCACAAATACTGATGGATTTTTTTTTCTAAGAATTCATTGCTGCATAACAGCCATAGGCCCTGCCTAGAAGGATATGATTTCTCAAGCACCAATGTATTGTGTGCTCAGTGGGCTATGTTGACCCTGCTGGCATGAACTAAAAGTTCCCTATTGTGTATCAATGTAGTGTGGCATCAAGAAATGGAGACAAGAGAGCAGAATGTTCTATAACTTCATTTTCTCACATCAAGGGTCTGTTCCTTGTGTCTCCATAAGATAGAAGAGCTATGCAAGGGTATCTAATGTCTTTAGTTTGGTTTTTAACAGGTATTTTCCTCTACACTTTCTTAAATTGTCATATTAAATTGTTGCTTTTTAGATGGTCAGTTAAGTGCTATTTATTAGGAGACACTTCCTTCTTTTGTTGTTTTCTGGGACATTTTGGGAGAAACCGGTCACATAGGAATTTCTAAGGGGTTATCAGGATGTGTCCTGAAATGCAGAAATACTTACCTGAAAATTCCTTCCTTTTATTCAACATTTTCTTTTAACAATTGAGATTCTTTGAGTGTTTTGGTCTCAAAGAAAAATGTCAGTATAGTTTGTAAATCCTCTACAGATTTTTTTGAGGAAAATGCCCCCAAATAAAGTAATTTAACATTAATGTTTTGCCATTATTTTCACTTTAAGAAGAAAAGATCTCTTAAGTAGATATCGAGCATTTAAAAACTTTTTGCATTAGAATGTTGTATATTAGCAAGTGGACTTCTAAAGTAAAATAAAGTGCATAAACAGTGGGTTATTCCATGATGGATCATAACTTATTTCCTTTATTAGAAATTGATCACCCATGAGAGATTTGAAAGTGCATGTGAAGAACTGAATAATGCATTACATCGAGAGCAGCAAGCACAAATGCTTTTGAATGAACAGGCACAACAGCTACAGGAGTTAAATTATAAACTGGAGTTGCACTCAAGTGAAGAAGCGGACAAAAACCAAACCCTAAGTGAAGCTGTAAAGGTAAGACAATATTCCTTGCAAATAGAGAACAGAAGTTGTATTTGCCTCTCAAGTGCATGGGCCTACATCGTCAGTCCTCACTGCTAGCTGGGGGCACGTATGAGACATGTACTACCTTTTATGATGAGGTCTTGCAAGGGTGTAGCTTCTATTTTTATAATGGGAGTGGCATACATGTATTTAAAAGTATTATCACTATTTATTTGTTAAATCTGGAAAATCAGTTTGATCTGGTACAAGATACAAATCAAGATAATCCCTCTCTAAATCTAAAAGCTAGAGAGGGTGATACTGAGACAGGTAGTGAAGATACAGTTGTAAAAATTAGTTATTTTAATCTCGCACTCTCCTCGAAGATAACTTTCTGGCAGAGAAAGCATTTGATGCAGTTTGGCATATCCTGGAGTAAGTAAAAAGAGAAGGGGCCCTATCTCATTAAGATGTAGAAGCTGTTTTATGCATAAGGGATAACAAGAGAAAAAGGAAATGAAGTGAATGTCAAGGTGACATTTTTGTCAAATTGAAGGAGTAAAGAAAGGGATATGATCAGAAATCAGAATAATAGATTAAACCCAGAAGAGACCATTATCTCAATAATTCTTACATCAAGCCCAATAGCTTGTGGTCAAACTGGAGCATATTTTTAAGAAAGGCATCCAGCCTTGATTTAAATGAGACTGGGAGTTCCCCAGTTCTATGTATTCTATGCAGGCTAGAATGGAGCTGAACCGGTCTTTAAACTTCACACCCTTATCTTAAAACTTGTGATGAACTACTGAGAGCTAGTAGAGGTATTCAGAGAAGAGTCATATTCTGATCATTTCTGCAATTATATTTTGGACCAGTTAAAAGATAGAAGAGCATGGATAGCTATTGTACACCGAGGTCAGCAAGAAAGTGTTGATTCCTCAATACATTATGGAAAAAGAAGTGGCATAATATTGGAAATGTGAGTGGTAGGGAAAATAGAGGTGTCGCTTGAGCTGACAGCAAACAAGCCAGGATATTTTGGAGATAATCTAAATAGGAACTAAACAAAAGAAGACAGTGAAGTATGCAGATATAGATTTGGGAGTCATGGGCATAATGAGTATGTGATGAACTAATTTCATTTAACTAATTTCAAAATAACTAGCATTTTTTCAAATAATTTAGTCCACGTCTACACAGCAGGCAGTTATTTCAAAATAATGTCAAAATACTGTCAAGTTGGAGGACTTCTTACTCTGACTCCTGTAACCTCATTGTATGAGGAGTAAGGGAAGTCAGAGGAAGAGTGCTCTATTTTGAAATAAGTGCTGTGTAGATGCTCCCAGTTTCAAAATAAGCTACACAATTGATGTAGCTCAATTTGAATAGCTTACTTCAAGTTAAGCCCTGCTGTGTAGATGAACCCAGAGAGAAGGGGCAACATCAGAGCATTGTGAGAATCCAATAGAGAGGTAAGGAAGATGAACTGTGAACGAAGACGTTTGAAGAAAATCAAGAATATTAGTTACATAAACCGATTTGAATAAAGGGCATCAAGAAAAGAGTGATCAACAATATCAGAGAGAGCAGAGGGGTCACGGAGGATGAAGATGGGATAGAGGGCATAAGCTCTTGGTCAGGAAGAAGTCTTTGGACTGGAGTGGTAAGTGGATCATGGTCTGGTGTGAAGGAAAAGAAAGAAAGTTAAAGGTACACTGTCACTTTAAATATCATATTATAAACAAATTTCTTTACTTTTATGTTGTAAAACACATTGGATTATTGAAAATGAAACTGAAAAACTTAAAACAAAAATTCAGTTTTCTCCAAATTTCAGTTGTGTTTAAGTTTTACAGCATTTTATTATTTTTTCAATTGAATTTTTCAGTTTCCCGGTCCCAACAGACACCACCAACGGGGATGTTGTCCCCCAGCACAGAGACTCACCTTCATGAGACTTTTATGGCCACTGCTTCCTGTGATAAGACCTAAGGGTACATCTACATTGCAATGCTACCCTGTGTCTACACAAGCTGCCCATTACTTCAAAATATTTTTCGAAACATCGGGCACACTGTTTCATCATCCCAGTAAACTTTGTTGCATGAGGGATAAGGGATGGCTTGAAATAGCACTTTATTTAGAAATTTGGCACTATGTAGATGCACCAAATTTCAAAATAGCCTATTTTGAAATAGATTCGAAATGAGATACTCATTTGCATAGCACAAATTGCATATCTTTTTTTGAGTTTAGGGTGCTGTGTAGACGCACCCTAAGGGAAGAGAATTTTTTAAAAAATCAACGAAGTGGTAGGTTAATGTACCAATCTTTTCTTAATATCTGGTTTAGTCTGTATCAATAAAATATATTTTATTTACAAACTATGCTCTATTCTATCCTTTACTCTTTTCTTTCCTATAGCTTTTACTCCTCTTCTTCAGTAAAAGGGTATAGCTTTCACTCCTCTTGGTTCAGTAAACCAAGAATAGTTGCAAATTTAAATATTTCTTCAATTTGGGGTGTAAGAATTGTTATGCAGTATAATATAGAATTACTGTTATAACAAGGAATAGAAAGGTTTTTTTTGTATTAAGAAAAATACCTATTACTTTTCAAATTTTTAAAAATAAAATATCTTTTTTGCTTATCACAATCTTTTTTCCTAGTTGACTGAGTCTCTCTTCCTCAGTTCTTTTTTGTGACCTGAAAGAATATTATTTTCATACCCATAAATAAATAAATAAATAAATGATCCAAATATTATAAAACCTCGCTTAATATTATGTTAAAGATTTATAATGGAAAATTCTTGCCGTCACACACTCTAAATACAAAAGTCATGTATAAATGAACCCAGCAGAAATGCATGCACAAAATTAAAGAGTAATACATTGTATACAAAGTGACACATTTGTTGATGATTCTTAACTGAATTTGGCAAAGGAATAATCTTGATGAAATTTTAATAGCTGAAGCTAAAATATTATACATTGATCTCTTTTTAAAAATAATTACCTTAAAATATCAATTTATCATAATTTTCTAACAAAAAGAATAGAAAGAAATTGTTCAGCATTTAGAAATTTGATTCACTGGTTTGAAATTTACACACACTTCAAAAGTAATCAGGAAGGAAATATCTCACCATTTACTTACTTTCATATAGTAAGTTTATTAAAGCAGTGTTGCTTAATTTCTTTGCCTTATCAGTTTAGATTTTAATCCCATATATTTTTATCTTCTTAATGGCATTTACCACTGAGACATACATGGGAGCCAATTACATTTCAAGGTCAGATAGGACTAAGCAACAATTCTAATAAAACAAGTGGTATTAGATTAGGTAAGTTACTAGCTCTAATCCCAACTGCCTGTGTAGGAAAAGAGTTTTTGTGCTTGCTAGCCAAGTACCCAGAGCACAAAATATAAAATTGTACTGATGCTAAAACCATATGTTAATTTAAAAAAAAGTCTCCATTTTACTTACGTACAGGTGCGCTCTGTGTGTGTGTGTGTGTGTGTGTGTGTACACAAATGCAATTTATTTTACGGATACATATTAGTACTATTAAAATATTTTTTAAAAATTGTATTACACTGCAACTTATCAATTACGGTGGAATCCTTTCATAATGGAGAAGGCAATATTTTGCATACATCTTTGGCTTTGAAGGTGTTATGTTGTGTCTTCTAATGTACTGGAAGACTTACCTGGCATTTCTCAGGTCCTTTAGGGCAGGGGGCTGTCTGTGTGCGGGTGCAGGGGATTGGGAATGTGGGGGGATGTGAGAGTCAGGGTTGGGGGGGTGAGGAGGGAGTCAGATCTGGGGATGGGATGCAGGAGTCATAGCAGGAGGTTAAGAGGAGGGGCAGCACAATGGCAGGGCCGAGAGGGTTAAGGTTGGGGGGAGAGGGTGGCCACCGGCTTCTCACGGGTGAGTATGAGAAGTTATACTCACTGTTCCTGCCATCACACCCCTTCCTTTCTGTTTGATATGAAACAATCACATTCCATGCACATCCCGTTAACCTGGCACAGCCCTGACCTTGACTTAAGTTATGATAAGAGGAAGCTGCATACTAAATTTAGCGATCCTAACTCTTACCGTTTAGGAGGAGTTCTTGAACAAACAGATGGACAGACAGACAGACACCCATTTCTAAAATATATAGTTAGAAGACTTTCCCAGCATTTCTCTGGTCTTTCAGAGCTAGTGGTGTGAGTGGTGTTGGAGTCAGGGCAGGGATTGGGTGTGAAGGGGGCTCAGGACAGAGGGTGGAAGTGCAGGAGTCAGAGCTCTGGGCAGGAGGTTTGGGGGGTGGAGAACGGGTTCAGGATTCAGGGCAGAGTGTAGGGGCCCAGGGCAGGGGTTTGGGAAATCTCAGAGGCTGGGGGGAAGAGGGGGGAGGTCCCTGCATACATCCCATTTTCTGGCACAACCAAAACCTGACCTTACTTAAAGTTATGATAAGAGGAAGCTGCATACCAAATTTGGTGATCCTAGCTCTTACCATTTAGGAAGAGTTCTTGAACAAAGAGACAGACAAATGGACAGACTCACTGACAGACACACAAACTATCTACAATATATGTAGATTACTGACCTAGTCCAAAAGCATGAGACGTTATTTAAAGGAGAATAACATCTGGGGCTAGATTCTGATCTCATTCACAGAAATTTAAACCCTGAATAGCTCTGTTGATTTCAGTGAAGTTACTTTTGATTTACAACAGAGTTTGATCCTGGTGTTTTGTAAATTTATGTACTGTAGCATTCTCTTTGAGATCAGAGTTAAGATGAGATGTTTGGTTCCTTTAGATATTTCTAAATCATTATCTATCGATAGCCATAACTATACCCTACTTTTAAAAAGCATAGTGTCATTTAACTAAATTGAATTGCAAAGAGTTAAATTTATATCTGCTAGAAGGGAAATTGGAATTGTATCCTTTTTCCGGCAGGTTCTTCTTCTGGAGGCCAGAATGTGTTGCTTAGATTGGATAGTATTGTTGCTTTTGTACTAAT